AAAAATCGCGGTAATGGGCTAATTTTGTGATTTCCGCTCAGTCAGTGAAATTGTGATTTCCACAGGGCCTTAGCCATCCCACTTTACACCAGGGCTGAATTTGGTCCTTGGTAGCAACTACACAAACAATTTGGTATGCTAGTACCAGCAATAACCTCGTCATGGTGAGATCACTTAGGCTTTGGAATAATTCTTCTCAGGAAGTTGGTGGTAGCCTCATTGCTTGAGTCATTTAAAATTGGGCCGAACAAAACACTACCATAAAGTATTGAAGGGAAGAATTCTGCAGTTTACCAGGGAAGGAGTTAACTAGCAGACATTTTTTTAAACGAAATGACCAATCATACAATCTTCTCTGCTATTGCATATCATGATTGTTATTTATTATTTGTGCTGCAGTGACACCTAGAGGCCCTAGTCCCATTGTACACACATATAACAGAAAGGACAGTCCCCACCCCGAAGAATTTACCATCTAAAGTCATCATCTAAAGATGAATAATCATCTAGAAGCAACCTACTCCTGGAATGGGGATAGTGTAGAATGGTGGCCTACAATGATATAGCTTTTCCATTTCTAGCTTCTGGGATCCTATAGCATTAAAATAGCAAAGGTTTTTGAGTCTGGTCTGGTGACCCAAACTTGTTTCGTGGTTAACAGGCAAACTGTAATGTTTTTCAGCTGTCTTCTCTCCGTTTTGCTACCAGAATGAAATGGGTCACAACGGAGCCAGCCATCAATGAGAAATACGACCCAGAGGTATGTATATTTTTGAAGGGAAATGGAAGGAAGGAGGTTCTCTTTTTCTCAGATCCAGGAAAAATTAAGACAACGCTTCCCAAGCTTCGTCATCATGTGTATCACAGCTTAATAGATAAACTGTCCCATGGACACCTTCCCTCCCACTGAGAGGATCATCTCCAGTCCTACCTGAGACCCTGCAGACCACCTCCTTTCCCACGGCTGGTCACACAACATCCCTGCAACAACTACAGCAATTATTCACATGGAAAAGTAACATTAGAAAAGTAATCAATATCTTTTAGCTTCTTTTAATGCACTTTAAAATAGGGAGGAGACTTGGCATTTTGTGTCCAACCAGTTCTCCTCAGACCACCAGCAAGTGCTTGATGAATTACTGGTGGTCCATGTACCACACTATGGAAACCATGCTGCACAACACACGTGGCGGGAGAAAACCTTGCTGTACTGAACCGTCCGATTTCACGTGTCTGTCTACAGTAGGTGGAAGCAGAGAACCATATAGAGGAACTTCCTCCAAGAGTTTTCAGACGAGGCTGTGGACTGTGCAACAAACTTTTCCCCTTCAGCTCCCTTTCTTTTGCTGCGTGATGAACTGAGTGAAAAAGAACTGAAATGCATTTAATGAGATTATTACATGTGGATGCTAAGTGGGAGCTTTGCAAAGGCACAAAGGGCCGTTTGGCAATTAATTCCCACTGAGTTTCAATGGGAATTGCCCTCTCAATAGCCAAAGCTTTAAAATATTCCAGATTAGGGAGACATGCAGGTCTCAAGTATGCCGTGTGAATCTGCTGGCGTAATGCATTCCTGTTAAAGTCAGTGGGGAAACTGGCATTGCCTTCAGTGAAAGCAGCACTGGGGCTCTGTGGCTTCTGTTTTCAAAATAACGCCATGTAATCCAGAAAGACCACAGTATGGGGGCATCAGATCGGTGAAGCACTGACTCGATAAACAGGTGGCTTTCCCTTGAAAGCTTAAAGTGACTTTACAGAGGGTGGCTCAAGACACAGCAAAGGAGGCTGTCTGCTGGAAGCTATGCTAAGGCCAAGTGATTTCCAGATCACTTACTCACCATTTCAATGCTGTAAGCCCAGCAGTGAATTCTCTGGGAGTTGGTACACAGCTGAGATTTTATTCAGCAGCCATAGGTGTAGTTTGACGTCTATATTTGTGGGGGGCAGCTCCAGTCAAGCCAATGGGGAGGCAAATTCCACGCCTGCCTTAGGCTTGCAATTTGAGGGGGCAACACCTCCCCTGCCCCCCACCAAACTACGCCCATGCCAGCAGCCAATCTGAAGTGGCTTTGGACAGTTCTTTCTCTAGTAGCACTTGGTCACTTGGCATCTTTTTGTTTTCCTGCTAGCGGATGGTCAAGAATCTGGAGAAGGAGATTGTTCTTCTGAAGCAGGAACTAGCCATGCATGACAGCTTGGTAAGGAACAGGCTGCAGCCATTAATTGCTGCCTATGCTTTCTCTCTAAGCCATTTTGCTGGGGATATTAGTGTGTGCTTTATCTTGATTTTAATTTATCTCTAGGATCAGTTATATCCATATGTCACGCTTTTGCTTTCCCACTGTGTCCCCAGTGGAGTCCTTTGAGTTTAGACAGAGTTCTGAGGGGTCCCCACCAGTTTTCCCTCTTGGTCATTTCCCATTGCACAAGGTTCCATGTCATAGTCATTAACCCGCAGAGTCCTGGGTGCCAGACAGTATAGCCTTTCAAAACCCATCAGTGCCTGTCCTTAATTCGCTCAGAAGGGAGAGGCAGGGAGTGCACCACTCCTACCCAACTCCAGAGTCCAATGCCCAGCCAGTCGACAGGATGGGAAGCAAAGTCTAAGAATGAAACCTGCCGTGGCAAGGCAGAGCACAGCCAGGTGACCGTCAGGCTAGCATTTGCCCAGCTTATTGTAAATTGTTGCAGTTCAGCTGTTCACCTTTTCATCCCTAGGTCAACCGTTCTCTGGTGAATTATGACCCTCTGAATGAAATCCAGATAGCAGAGATTAACTCTCAAGTCCGCAGGTACCTAGAAGGAGCCACGGATGATATTGATGTGAGTAGCTACCTAACTGACAACTTGCTCAGCTGGTTATAGTTGGCTGGATTCCAGGCTCTTTCAGCTAGAGGGAATGAAATCAGTTTGTGGAGGAACTGAATTTAGAATTAAAGGTGGCACTAACTTTTGAACATTTCCCTGTTATTTACAGGGAAACTTTGGACACCTGCCTTCTCCTCTCATTCTTATCTCCCCGTAAGTTAGTAGGAAGCTCTAGGAGGCTTCCACCCTGGCCTCAAACTCAGTGGGATGGTCTGCTTTGAACGTCCTTAAAAAGACAGTGTCAGAATTCTCCATCTGGGTAAAACCATGTCATAAGAACATAAGAACAACCATACTGGGTCAGACCAAAGGTCCATCTAGCCCAGTATCCTGTCTTCCAACAGTGGCCAATGCCAGGTGCCTCAGAGGGAATGAACAGAACAGGTAACCATCAAGTGATCCTCCCCTGTCATCCACTCCCAGCTTCTGGCAAAGAGATGTGTTCCCAAAGTATTGTTCAAAAAGTGTTTCTCCTTTTTTTGGGAGAGGGGAACTTCTGGGGCACTACAGCCCCATCTCTCTACTCTTTGCTTTTCTCCCACCCTCAAAGGTCCCAGAAAATTTTCCTGCAGCTGTTGGGGGTTGAGGAGAGTTGGCTTCTGTGGAATCCAGGGAGTCTTTTAGGGTCAGGGATGGTCAGCCTAAGTAGGAGATGGGAAGGACTGAGGAGTTTCTTATAGGGAAAGATGTCCTTAGTGGGGTCATGGAATCTTTTATTGGGAATGATGCTTCTCTGGGAGTGGGGAGAATGTACTTCAAGACTTCCTAGAGAGGAAGGATGGTCCAGTGGTTAGGCCACTCGCCTAGGACTTGGGAGCTCTAAGTCCCAGACTCTATGTATGACCCTGTGTAAGTGCCTTAAGCCCAGATCTGCAAAGGCATTTAAGCTCCTAACTTCTATTGATTGATCTGGGCCTCAGTCTGTAAAATGGGGATAATAGCACTGCATTAAAGCTTGTCAGGAGCTCAGATGTTCTGGTGCTGGGAACCAGATAAGTACTTTAGATAGACTCAGCAGCGTGTGAGTGAGGAGAGAGCTGCATGGCCTGGAGGGTTGGAAGCTGCCTCCTGCATAATGTTGTGTGTTACACTTTGGCTGATAATTGGCTAACAATTCCTGACTGCTGGGGTCCTACAGGATACCTGCACAGCTGGCACCTGCCTTAGCCTATCAGATAGATTCCTCTGTTCTTAAACAATGAGTGATGGTCATAGCCACATGGGGCCTGATTTTCCCAGTGCAGGATACAGGGTTAAGTTATCTGTAGCCTGAGGCTAGAGAAGGGGGCCCTGGGATTCTATAGTATTTGAACCAGCCTTACAGAGCAACTTTTTTAAACCTTGCACAGTGAATGTGACCTGTCTCCCATTAGATCTTCAATGTACGTATCTCTTCCTCAGATAATGAACATCAGGCAAATCCAAGAGGTATTTAACCAGTTCAAAGTGATTCTAAGGTAAGATGTTGTAGCCGGGGTATGTGCATTGGATAAGGAGATTTAGAAACTCTCCACCAAGCTTCTGTCTGTGACAGCACAGCACAGTGTCATGACACCGCTGGTGATGTCATTGTAGAATATGCAGAGAATAAGTTGTAGTTGTGAGACGCTCAGCCCAGCTCCTGATGGCTTGGTCAGGGGGAAGCTGCTGCTGGCTAACCCAGTGGCACCGGTAGATCATGAGGCTGGTCCTTGGATGATGGACTCCATGAATTGGTTAAGTGTGCCCTGGTATCTGATGCTACAGTTACAAAAGTAACATGATGTCACTGCAGGAAGATTTGGGCTTTGAGGAGGGAAGTGGCAAGTCTGTGCTATGTCGAGGGGGGGGGGGGGCGCGGGCGCGCATTCCTGTTCCACAGGAATCCAAACTGGTCCAGATCCCTGTGTTAGTGTTTTGCATGGATTTTGTACCTTGGGGAATCCTTTTATGAGGTTAAAATAAAGCAAGAAGATCAGGTCTTCTCATGGTGGTTCCACCCTTCAGGGCTAAACTACTGTGGAGTTGTGTTATTTGGGCCATAAAAAAGGCTCCCTAAAGTATTTCAAAAGCTAGTGAAATGTATACGTGTCTTAACAGAAGAGATATCCAGGCCTAAGGGACAGTGTGGAAAAAAGGTGGGAAGAAGAAAATAGGAGGTCAGAACAGGTGCATGAAGGAGAGCGGCTTGGGAAGAATGCAGGAAGTAGGAGGAAAGGAGAGCAGAGGTAGACATAGGGGTGATATTAGACACAGCTTTCTTTTGAAGTATGACACATTTACAAGTTTGGGGCTGTATGAAATTTTCCCTTGAGCACAATGAAAAGGGCGGTTGTCTCTCCCCAGCCAACAGGAGCAGGAAGTGGAAGCCAGACTACGAAACAAATACACCCTGATAGACAAAGGTGACTTTGCAGCCATTACTGCTGCTCAGAAGGTAGGGCTCTGGGACTTGACCTTCTGCCTCAAATTCTTCCTACACTATTTGAGAGGAACCATTGAAATCCAAGGCCCTGAGCTACCATGGTGATGGGCATGACAGAAGAACAGAACTGCTACAAGTCAATAGAGCTGCACCAGTTTCCACCAGCAGAGAATCTGGCCCAGTATTTTAACAGGGGGGGTTATAAAATAGAGAAAAGGAAAATACATGAGAACTATTACATCAAAAATGCCTGCCTGCATGTGTGTCTGTTGTAAAATAGTGGGCTAGATCCTCTGGCCCTGGTATGATCCCTTAGCACTGTTGGAGCAGCATAAAGGAGACGTACCCCACCCTAAAGGCCGATGTGGATTTCCTTATGTCGCTTAGGATGCAAGACGTTTTTCACTATCAGCTTGTTTTTAGTTTGTCCTAACTTTCTGAAACTTTCCCCTTCTGAACTGATTACTTCCATGCGTCGACTATGCCTCAGTTTATTCACTTAATGGGTATAAGAATAATTCTCTACCGTGCAGAGTTGTGGGGCTTAACTATAGGTGCTTTGAGATCCTTGGAAGAAAGGCGCAATAGAAATGTGAAGTATTATTTTAACACAAAACTGCACAATCTCCAGGCAGACCCCATTCCAGGCTTTAATTTAAAGCTGATCTGGAAAACAGAAATGAAATGTGAGTTAAGCAGATTTCTGTGCTGAATGGGCCATTTAGCCATGCTGTTGAGACACTGACAGAAATCAGATTTTACTTACGAAATCCTCTTGCAAACTTCTCCTTCGTTGAATGAAGATAACCCAGAGTGCGTCATTCTCTGGTATTATTAGTGACACCACGATTACAGTGAGATTTCAGGTATTTGTGAGGTGTCAGAATGAAGCATTCCGGGATATCATCAAAGAAACAGAAAATACAATAGGATTTAATAAAGGCGTGGGGAAGAAATTTTAAACGTTAATTTAAACCTGTTTCTGTGATGTAAGTCCCTACTTCTTCCAAACCTAGTTAGTGGGAGCACTCAGCACATGAATCTGAAAATAATTCCAAGGGCTTTTTTGCTTCTCAATTCACCTTTAAGATGATTTTTTCCATCAAGATGCCATGAGGTGAATCTGGATTTAGATTAAGGAATTGGACAGACTTACCCCTCTGAGCAGAGTATTTAGTTCTCACAAGCTGGACATCTGCAGGGCTAATACTTCTGTATTCACATCGTCAGCCCCCTCTGTTTTCAGGCAGGCCTGGTTGATGCAGAGGGCCATCTAGTGGGGGAAGTGGACGGACAGGGCTTCGGGATTGGAGTTGCTCCTTTATCCAAACCCGGCGGGAAGAAAGTTAAAGCCAAGAAAGCCAAAGAGCAGCTTAGGTGAGTTGACATGTAAAACAGCGGTTCCCTCTCCTTTAGTCAGGTGTCTTTCTCCACTCATGAAAAGCTTCCCTATGGCAGTGACATAAGCAGGGATTTATGGGCGGCTTTACACCTACAGGGGTAAGTAGCTACCCAAGGGAGAAGGCTGTAGAGAAACAGCCCCAATAGCCCTCCTGATATTCTGTGCTTGTTTCAATGAGGAGATCCCGGCCTACTAGGATTGGTGTTGATACATGGTTGTGGCCTGATCACCAAGACGACGGGCAGCGGGTGAAGCTTCCCCTTGGGGAGTCTAGACCCTGCTCCACCTCTTCTGGCCAAGGCCACGTCTCCACTTGCTGCTCTCAGCCCCTCCCCACAATGGCCCTAGCCCGGGTGGGCGCGAAGGGGGCTGAGAGCTCCGCCCTGGCCGAAGCGCCAAGCCCCGAGCCTCTCCCCCATTCCGCCCCTTCTGCCCACGGCCCCACCATGGCCCCACCATACCCCACCCCATTCCGCCCCTTCCGTCGTGGCCCTGCCCCCATTCTACCCCCATTCCGCCTCTTCCCCCCCAGGCCCTGCCCCCACTTGCTCCTTCCCTCCCCCCCCCTCCCCGCTGCTGCCCAAAGACCGGAAAAGCTCTATGCCCCTGCCATGGTCCCAGGGCCATAACAGAGAGTGAGAGTGCCTCTTTCCCTGTGGCAGGGGGAGATTTTTCTGGGGGCCTCAAATCCACTACTGCCCCACTGGTGGCATGAGATTTGAGCCTCCATTACATACCACCCATGACAAAGACCAAACCTGCCCCTCAGAATGTGTCTTTGCACAGTCAGCGTCAGACTCAAATCCGTTTGGTTTTGTGGAAGTCTGGTATATGCAGGATTTACTGTAAACGGCTACTCATGTTTATTACGAGTAGCACCTAAGGACAAACCAAGAATGGGGCCCCATTGTGCTAGCTGCTTTACAGACACAGAGTAGTAGATAGTCCCTCCCCCAGGCAGGCACAGGATGGGGAAGGGATAGAACACACCAGCAGAGTGACCAATGTGATGGCAGCACATGGCATGTTAGTGCCATGATTTTGTTGTTGGGTGGGTTTAGTTAGAAGGGGATCAGCAAAATGGAAAGGGAAGGGGGATGAGAGGGACAGGGGAGGGGAGGAGAGAGTAAGAGGAGCAGATGTGGAGTGAACCTGAGCTAAAGAGACTAGAGGGAGGGTTGGCGCAAACAGCCCATCAGCACAGGGCAGAGAAAGTCCAGTCAGAACAGTAAAACGTTCTCTGAATGTCCAGAGGCCCTTGTTCTAGCTGCTTCTGCTCCTGCTGGCTGGAGTCTCTGGCTGGTTTCTCCTGGCAGTTGTTCCCCAAGACCGCATGGGGGTAGGAGGCACCACCTCAGTCCTATACCCCTGAGTGGGGGGCATCTCCCCTGCGTGTTTCTGGGTCCAGGAGGGGTGCTGGGGTGTGCTGCCCTGGTTGATGCCAGAGTGCTTCTCCATACTAACACACAACTTCCATTGTCATCTCTTACATCTCACACTGGGTGTCCCTTGCTGAACAGACTCCCGGAGGCCAGTTTAAGGAGACTCTCCACTCTTCTTCCTTAAACTGGACTGGGGGCTAAGCCAGGTCTTCTGGACTCTGCTACGGGGCTCCATTGAGGGTGGATAGGGGTCCACTGCCTGCTGCTTGCTCCAAGCAGACACTTGTATATTCAGTCTCTTCATGTGCCCTAGCCAGGTCCGTGTAACCTGTGCATGCGAATGGACTTCTCGGGAACCTTCACAAGAAGTTGATCCTGCGTGTGCTGCTATTCCTACAGATTTTATATTCAGGGAGGTCCCTCTAGGTTTGCAAGCAGGGAGCTGGGACAATAGAGACAATGGCTCCTGCCCCATTGAAGTTGGCAGAACTTTCACTGTTCACTTCAGAGGAGCAGGCTCAGACCTCCAGTTCTTGAATCAGAACTGGTTTCTGCAGTGTAGTTTTAGTATCAGTGTTTTGTCATATGCTGGAAATTAACCATTTCTTTCCTCTTAGCCCCATTACCAGGAAGGAAGGATTAGGAAGCCCTGTTTTGGGGAAAGATCTGGATTCTGTTTCCCCATCAAGGAGTCAGCTGGTAACTTCCGCAAAGGATTTGGATGTGAAGGAGGGACTAATACGGGAGCAGGATGCAGCTAGTATTGAAACACATCGCTCGGAGTCAGTGCCCAAGGAGGAGTCCCACCGACCGAGGTGACCTTTCACCTTAATGAGGCACTTTCCATTTGCAAAGCTAAACAGGTGGGGTCATTCCGGGTGCAAAGCCAAACAGAGTGCCCAGTCGCTGAGCTGGGTCTCAGGAGGCTCGGTCTGTGATGGGGGCAGAGGGGACAGGGCCAAGGCTGAGGAAATAGTTTCCGTTTAGCAAAAGGGACGCGTAGTGTTAGCTGTCTTCACTCCATGGTATTTTGGCCTAGGTTTCCTGCTCTTACACCTTGCTGTTTGCAGTGGTACTGTAATGGGGCACCATGCACATACATGGGAGTGGCTCGTGTGTGCATTTCAGCGCAGTAATACATCAGTGTGGTGTGTCTCCTGATTTTGGTTCTCTTGGATTTGGCATTCCTGTCACTTGCCACCTGGGGATTGCCATTGCATCCCCGCTCTGGGTCCAGCTCCCACTAGCTTTCGAAGTGAGCTGCTGGGTAAATTCCAGCCGTTGCACCCGGCATCCGCCCTGCTTCTGCTCTCTGCTGTCGAAAACACGTCCCTGCTGCCAGCAAAGGAAGCAGTCCCATTAGACATGGTTTTCAGTAAGCGGTAGCAGCCCTAACATTTTGTTCTGAACTACTAAAATGTTACCATTGCTCAGTAACAGAGCTGGTGCTGCTTTGGGGCTTTACATTCGCAAACGCTTAACACACATTAACTAATTAAGCCTCACATCCCCCTTATGAGGTAAGGCTGTATTATCCCCATTCTCATGGTGGGGATATGAAGGCTTGACCAAGATCAGGCAGGATGCCATCTGATAGGCATCTGTCTAGTTTTGTCGTGATTTCTAGGGGATCAATACAGGGTAGGCTCCTTTAAGGTAAGAGATGAATGACTTGCCCGTGTCAGAAGAGTTCTCTGAAGGTGAACCATTATTTCTATGGATTCACACTCCTCACCCCTCTTGTAGGTTAGCCCAAGGGCGTGGCTCCCCAGGGGATACCCGTGGGAGGTTAGCCCAAGGGCGTGGCTCCCCAGGGGATACCCGTGGGAGGTTAACCTAAGATGTAAATCCATAGAAAATACTAGCACCATCTTAGATCTTTGCTGACCACTTTCTGGTTCTCCTCCCCTGGGTTCCCAGACTGGCCTCAGAGGCAACAAGACTCAGAAGTTTGGATCCATAAGATCCAACTTTCTGGGACGATTCAACTGAGACAGCTGCTAGGGAACTTTGCTTCCGTGTAAGTAACTCTTCCTTCTTGGAGTGGTCGGGTTTGTCTACACTTAAAAGGCTGTACCTTTGCAGCTGAACCGCTGCAGCGCATCAGTGAAGATGCTGTATGTGCCAATGGGAGGGCTTCTCCCGTCAGCGCAGGTACGCCACCTTCGCAAGAGGTGGTAGCTATTCGACAGGAGAGGCCCTCCCGCTGACATAGCGCCGTCTCCACTGGGAGTTAGGTGGGTGTGGAAGAGCGATGGAGTCATACCAGCATAAATTGCTAGTATAGGCCAAGCCATCCCGGGAGAGGAGGAGGCCTGAAGGTTAGCACAGTGAGCACCGTGAGGCTGCAAGTGTCGATAGGTTCTGAAAACGCCCCATGAGGTGTAATTTGCAGACACTGATTATCAGTCCACTCAGGTGCAATAAGTAAACCTGAAGCTGGAACAACTGACCCTTCCTGTATTTTCTCCTTCTCTGAACCCTGGCGCAGTTCCCCTCCCGCTAAGCTGGTGGCATTTGAGGAGTTTAAAAACGAGCGAGGAAGTGAGATCAACCGGATCTTTAAGGAGAACAAAGCCATCCTCAGCGACAGGAAGAAGAAAGCGAGCGAGATCACCCACAGACTCAACCTAATAAAACAGGAGATGGACATCACCAAACAGGCCCTCGGGGCCCAGAAGAAGGAGAGGGAGGAGCAGGGTAAGTGGCATACAGAATGGATCGGACAACACAGATCTGAGCAGGGAGAGTTTGTTTCATTTCTCTGAGCTGTAACTGTTGGAACACGTTACAGGACACCATTGCTGTGCCACAGGCTGGAGGGGCAGCCAGAGGGGTCTATGCTGTACCTCTGCAACCTGGCCTTGGGTTCAGCAGCCAATTCCACTGCCTCATCCCCTTGCACTTCAACCACACGGAGCCAAGTCACTCAGGCTTTCTGCAGCCGAAGTGAGTTTCAGCCAGACTGAACACATCAAAGATATATGGTCTAATTCTCCGCATGGACTTCAGCGGAGCTATGCTGGCATAAAATTGGTGTAATGAAATGGAGAATTAGGCCAATTCACTGTAAAAGCCATTCGATGCAGGGTTTCTCTTACCACGCTAGAATAATGGTGACTTTGTTTCTGGGCATACGTCATTCTATTTGATTTGATGGGTCTGGCTCAGTCCCTGACATATGAAACACCACATTCCCCGTTTGCATGAGAATGCCTCAAGCATAAAACCCTCTAAAACAAAAAAATGGAAAGAAGACTCTAAACGGCACCAAATTCTAAGAAGTTTCAGTTCTTTCAGGCTCTGATCCTGCAGCTTCTTGCTCGTATGTGTACTGCTACACCTGCACGCTGTCATGCAGGTTCATAGAGTCAGAGATTCTAAATCCAGAAGAGACCACGGTAATCATCTCGTCTGACCTCCTGGATAACACAGGCCAGAGAACTTCCCCAAAATAATTCCCAGAGCAGAGCTTTTAGAAAAACATCCAACTTTGATTTAAAAATGGTCAGTGATGGAGAATCCACTGTGACCCTTGGTAAATTGTTCCAACAGTTAATTACTCTCATCATTAAAAATATACACCTTATTTCCAGTCTCAGTTTGTCTAGCTTCATCTTCCAGGCACAGGATCATTATACACCTCTCTGCTAGATTGAAGAGCTCGTTATTAAGTATTTGTTTCCCATGTAGCTACTGACAGACTAATCAAGTCAGCCCTTAACCTTCTCTTTGTCGAGCTAACTAGATTGAACTTGAGTCCATCACTATCAGGCGTGTTTTCTAATCCTTTAATCATGCTCATGGCTCTTCTCTGAACCCCTTGAATTTATCAACATCCTTCTTGAATTGTGGGCGTCAGAACTGGACACCGGATTCCACCAGCAATCACACCACTGGTTTTTGCCCAATCATTATAGCAACTTTTTTACCAGGAGCATCTTCATGTAGGGTCCATTTCTGCAAAGGGCTGAGCTCTCTTGGCTGGCTATTCAGCAAACTCTGCTCCTGTTGCAGTCATCATGAAAGGAGGGTGTTTAGCACCTCCTAAGATCAGTCCCTTAGTTTGGTGACGTGGGTCTTGTATTTCATATCTACAAACTGGTGGGTTTATTCTGGAAGCTGGAAATCACTAAAGTAACATAATCAGAGGCAAACATTAGACCTGATGCAAAGGCAAGACAGGAAGAATAGTAAGAGACCAATATGGCTCCATCAGGAGCTCTCTAGTGTCCTGACAATCAAAAAAGAATCACACAAAAAGTGGAAACATGGACAGATTGGTAAGGAGGAGTACAGAAGAATAGCACAAGCATGTAGGGAGAAAATCAGAAAGGCTAAGTTAAAAATGAGTTACACTTAGCAAGGGACATAAAAGGAAATAAGAAGTTCTTTAAATACATTAGGAGGAAGAGAAAGATGAAGGAAAGTGTAGGTCCTCTACTTAGCAGGGAAGGAAAACTAATAACTGATGACATCAAGAAACCCGAGGTGTTTAATGTCTATTTTGCTTCTGTTTTTACTAAAATGGTTAATGGGACCAGATACTCAACACACTATAAACAAGGGGAAAGGAACGCAAGCCAAAATAGGAAAAGAAAAGGTTAAAGAATATTTAGATCAGTTAGCTGTGTTCAGGTCAGCAGGGCCTGATGAAATTCATCCTAGGGTACTTAAGGAAGTAGGTGAAGCAGTCTTAGAACTGTCAGTGATTATCTTTGGGAACCCCTGGAGGACAGGTGAGGTCCCAGAGGACTGGAGAAGGGCAAACATAGTACAGTAAAAGCTGTGTTATCCGGCATATTTGTCAAGCTCTATTAACCAGCATTTCTGCTATGTCCCAATACAAATCTTCAGTCTAGTAACTGGGACTAGTGTACTGCCCAGGAGATTATGCAATTGCACCTTCTGCACTCTACTTTTATGCAAAAGGGGAAGAAGACAAGCAAGCAAGCTGATATCAAGGATTTATTCAAAAAAGCAGCTTCCAGGGTGTGTCATTGGGCTGAATCTGTAACGACCCTATCTCCTATACCGTCTACATCTACAATAATTGCGGCTGATAATGATGACCTTGAGGCACTGCAAGATCCTGAAGTGCCATCTGAATCATCAAAGAAAGATTAAAGTATGTTCAGTCGAGTTTTAGTGTTAAGTGTATTTTTAGTCATCTGGGTGTAGGCCATGCGCTGCCCATAGTGATAGGTAGTATCATAAAATAACCTGCTGTATAGAAAACGTTACCTGTATGCACCTCAGTGCTTCAAGAAACCAACCCCGCTCCAGTGCAGTACTACGACTGGATTGGCGAGTACCTGTATGCTATTTTGTACTTTATTCATGTTATTGTATTTGAATTCTTTGAAAACTGGTTCCATTGATAAGTATAACCAGAATTTTTGTTTAACCGGCACCCCCCATTTCCCCAACATGCCAGATAACAAAGCTTTTACTGTATCTATCTTTAAAAAGGGGAACAAATTGGACCCAGACAGTTATGGACCAGTCAGCCTAACTTTGATACCTGGAAAGATTCTGGAATAAATTAAACAATCAGTTTGTAAGCACCTAGAGGATGATAGAGTTATAAGGAATAGCCAGCATGGATTTGTCAAGAACAAATCATGCCAAGCCAACCTAATTTCCTTCTTTGACAGGGTTACTGGCCTAGTGGTTGCGGGGGAAAGCAGTAGACACAATGTGTATTTTGATTTTAGTAAGACTTTTGACAGAATCCCACATGACATTCTCAAAAGCAAATTAGGGAAATGTGGTCTAGATGAAATTACTAAAAGGTGGGTGCACAACTGGTTGAAAGCCCCTAGCAAAGAGTAGTTATCAATGGTTTGCTGTCTAACTGGGAGGGCATATCTAGTGGGGTCCCGCAGTGGTCAGTCCTGGGTCTGGTACTATTCAGTATTTTCATGAATTAGTTTGATAATGGAGTGGAGAGTATACTTATAAAAATTTGCAGATGACACTAAACTGGGAGGGATTGCAAGCACTTTGGAAGACAGGATTAGAATTCAAAACAGCCTTGACAAATCAGAGAATTAATCTGAAATCAACAAGATGAAATTCAGTAAAGATAATTGTATTATACTTAGGAAGAAAAAAATCAAATGGACAGCCAAAATGGGGAATAACTGGCTAGGCAGTAGTACTGCTGAAAAGGATCTGGGGGTTATAGTGAATCACAAATTGAACATGAATCAACAATATGATGCAGTTGTGAAAAAGGCAAATATTATTCTGGGGTGTATTAACAGGATTGTCATATGTAAGACATGGGAGGTAATTGTCCTGCTCTACTCATCATTTGTGAGGCCTCAGCTGTACTGCTGTGTCCAGTTGTGGGTGTCACACTTTAGGAAAGATGTGGACAAATTGGAAAGAGTCCATAGGAGAGCCACAAAAATGATAAAAGGTTTAAAAAAATCCAACCTATGAGGAAAGGGTTAAAAAAACTGGGCATGTTTAGTTTAAGGGGGGACCTGATAACTGTCTTCAAATATGTTAAGGGCTGTTATAAAGAGGGTGGTGATCAATTGTTCTCCATGGCCACTGAAGGTAGGACAAGAAGCAATGGGTTTAATCTGCAGCAAGGGAGATTTAGGTTAGATATTAGGAAAAAAATTTCTAACAATAAAGATAGTTAAATTCTGAACTAGGCTTTCAAGGGAGGTTGTGGAATCACCATCATTGGTGGTTTTTAAGAACTGGTTGGACAAACGCCTGTCACAGATGATCTAGATTTATTTGGTCGTGCCTCAGCTCAGGGGACTGGACTTGATGACCTCTCAAGGTCCCTTCCAACCTGACATTTCTAGGATTCTATGGAACTATGAGCAAGGAGAGGTTTTTAATGTGGGAGGTAGCTGGATCCTAACGGTATCTGGGGGGGTGACCAGTTTATCTCCAATGTCTTGCCTTAATAGGCCAGTCCTGCTCTCAGTGACACCAGTGAGAGTTTTGCAATAGGAACAATGTGTGCAATCCCTAAGTGATCCCTTCACACAGTCTGTCTTGCAAGAGTTAGCAGGGCAACCCAATCGGCCCACTCTGAGTCATGTACCTCTTGGATTAGGGAGGTATCATAGATTAGGGTTGGAAGAGGAACTGAGATCTCAGCTAGTTCAGTAACCACTCCATCCCCATGCCATTGGGAGTAGGACAGTGTATCTAAGGAAATGTCAGTTGAGTGGTCAACATCCATGTATGATCCCTGTTCTTTGGCACTCTCCTTCCACCCATGAGAACCTGTCACATCCTTCTCACCTTGCAGGCGAGTATGTGAATGAGGAAGGACAGATCATAATTGACGAGGAGGAATTTTTACTGGTCATGAAACTTAAGGATCTGAAGAAACAGTACAGGTGTGATTTTGATGAACTGCGGGACCTGAAAGCAGAAGTCCAATACTGTCAGCATCTGGTGGATCAGTGCCGCAACAGACTAATCTCAGGTACTCATGTTGCTGGCCAGAGGTTTGGAAATGGCATGCACTTTTGCTAGTGCATTCAATCGCACTCAGATCTGTAAGCCCTGCACTGTGCTCACAGAACAGGTGGGCATATATTTAAATGAATTCATTTGTCCCTGCAGAATTGGAAGCCTCTAAAATTCAGGGACCCTTGAGTCCCAGTGACCCTGTAATATGATTTCGTTAATCATCATCATTGCAGCTCACATTCTAGAAATGTTACCCAATTTCTAACGAGACACTTAGCTCCTACCGATTCTGTTCCTCCCATGTTAACACAATTACTTCTGGATCAGATGTCGAGATGCAACTAGTAATCATTGAATGCAGTGGGGCCAGGATTTCACCCAGTGTTTTGTTTGACACAGAGACTTGTGGTGCTAGCACAGCACTGGGTCAAGGCTTTAACCAGGTGCTGCAATTTTTGTACCTTTCCGAAGCCCATAAGAGTTCAGTGCGCCTCAAGTCCCAGTGTTACAGGATGGGGCCTTGTGTCTGGGGCAGTGGTCCATACGTTTTAGCTTGCACCTCCTCACTGGTACCCTCCTCACTCGGATGACACATGTTTCTGGTACAAGTTAACTTGGACAGATATGCAGCAACCAGTTTGGGCCTGGGTCTATGCTTGGGGCCTGGATTTGACCCAGTATGTTTGACATTAGATGTATCAATATCAAAGTCCTCAGCATTTGGAAGCTGTGCAATGCTCTGTTTTCTACAAACATCCCAGGGCACAAGCTTGCCTCTCTCAGGAGCAGCCCACACTGAAACAAATGCCTTGTGTTATTCAGGTAAGTACACATAGAGCCAATTCCTAACCATTAGATTTGGCCCATATTTGGAGCTGCCGATGTCTGTGTTAATTTGAATGTGCAAACAACGGTGACACCATTCGTATGAACGCACTTGGTGTTTTCATGGAATGTGGAGGTGACTCATTTGGACCAGGGTATAAAGTCAGTGGTGTTCTAGTCATGTCAGCAGTGCCTACGAAAAGCAGGGCTCTGTATCTGGCTTTCTTCATTCTTCCATACTTTCCAGGACATAAAACGAACGCAGGACATTCCTGGGGGATTACTGTGCTTCTCAGGGCTTAGTTCTCTCGGATCAGACCCTAAAGCAGAGCGTGCCAGAGGAACGAGGCTTTAGAGATGTGTGCCTGGGAAATGCATATTATTAGTAATAAGAACACAGGTTCCAGCAGCACTGCTCTGCCTCTTGTGCAGTCTCAGTTGCTATTATGGGATGGCAAGGGGCTATGATGCTCATTTAGCACTGGAGGCGAAGTCCGACCAAAAATGTGCTGACTGCTTAAAATTGCTTCTTCCAAGTTTCCAAATGTCAGATTGAAAAGTGTTTTCATCTCTAGCCGTGTAGGAAGAGCGACCTCTAGAGGCCACTCAGATTGTTCTAATCCGCACGTTCCCTATGGTTGTCGCAGGGGGAAGAGACTGTTTAGTGCCTGCTTCCTATTTAAGGGTGGAGGAGTCTGACCAGCCCCTAAACAGCATATTTCAACTGATTGCGCCACTCAGGTCACTAACTGTGGTACAGATTTAGACTGCTGTGGAGGTGCATGTCTAGTCATTGTGCAGCATGCCAGGAAAAATACAAACCTGGCCCCCTTTGTTACCACAGCCCTGGTTATTGTCCCCCTCCCCCCTTTGTCTTACAGAATTTGAAATCTGGTACAATGAGTCCTTCCTTATCCCTGAGGATGTGCAGGAAGCGATAAAGCCTGGAGGCAACATCAGACCTGGAATGATTCCCATGAACAGAGTCCTGTGTCTGGTGAGTTGTGCTGGGGAGTCCGGCTGCCCTCCCTGCTTGACAGCGGTGTGTCATACTGTCATCACAGGCACTACCAGTGCTGGGGGGAGGAGGGAGGTTTGCAGCTCTGGCCCTTTTTGGGGTCAGTGAGGTGTAGCACTGGGACGTCAGCCAGGGGAAGCAGACAGCAGCTACTGGCACGTGTCTTGTTTTTGTGGTATTGTTTTCTTTTGTTCACGATCACACGAACAAAACATCTATTGATCCAAGTGCATGACCATCCGCTTGATGTCAACAACCAGGCAGGTGGTCAAGAAGGCACAGGGAGTAACTGAGGCATTGTTTCTAGTCTCTAACATCAACTAATTTAAAAACATAAGACTGGCCATACTGGGTCAGACCAAAGGTCCATCTAGCCCAGTATCCTGTCTTCCGACAGTGGCCAATGCCAGGTGCCCCAAAGGGAATGAACAGAACAGGTAACCATCAAGTGATCCATCCCCTGTCGCTCATTCACAGCTTCTGGCAAACAGCCATCGATGGACCTATCCTCCATGAATTTATCTAGCTCTTTTTTGAACCCTGTTAGTGTCTTGGCCTTCACAACATCCTCTGGCAAGGAGTTCCGCAGGTTGACGGTGTGTTGTGTGAAGAAATATTCCCTTTTGTGTGTTTTAAACCTGCTGCCTATTAATTTCATAGGATGACCCCTAGTTCTTGAATTGTCATGTCTCCACCTATTGGCCACTGCCACTTAGCCAGACCGCTGTAGAGAGATGCAATCCCTGAACTTTCTCCTGCCTGAGCATGGGCAGGTCTCCTAACTGTTCTCATTCTCCAACCCTTTCCTCATCAGTGTTGCTCTCCTCTGAACGCGCTCTCCAGACTTCTTTTTTTTTTAAATGTGGGATTCAAAGCTATAATGCTGTTTGACATTGACCTGGGGCCACCAATCCCAGAGAAGCTCAAAACACTTCTCATTCTATATCCATACAGTACCACTGAAATGCAGCTACCTCTGGGGTATACCATGACAGCTGAGACCCAAATAGTATTGAGAAGGGTGGGGTTACTTTGTATTACATATTTGCATTATCCCTGCTTAATTCTGCAGATCCTGACCATAGCAAGGGGATCTGGCAGGTGTACTTTTTTAGAAGAAAAATTGAAAAGGAATTATTTTGCCACCAAATGTACCCTTATTTGGAATATAAAGCTCAGAGTTAAGCGTTACCTCCCAAACTGCTCTAGAAAGACACATTAGAGTGTTTTTCAAGGGCAATCATGGTAGGTGCCTTCCCTCCCTATTGAATTACTCCACCTCCAGAATATAAAGAGCAGGTATAAAGTGAGGGCAAATGAAACAGGTTTGTTAAAGTTATCATTGAACTACAGACAAATATTTATACAAGGATCGTGGTAGATTTAAAAAAAAAAGGTGTACAGACCAGCCCAAAGGGGATAAACACTCAGTGAATGCGCCTATTGAAGTCAATGGCAAAATTCCCATGATGCCAATGGGACTAGATTTCACTGTTCACATAGCAAGACACATCAAAAGTAACTTCTATTATAAGTAACGTAACCCTGTTCTAGGGTTATTCTAGGACTATTCAGCAGGGCCGCCCAGAGGATTCAGGGGGCCTGGGGCAATGCAATTTCAGGGGCCCCTTCCATAAAAAAAAAAGTTGCAATACTACTATGTTCTCGTGGGGGCCCCTGCGGGGCCTGGGGCAAATTGCCCTACTTGCGCCCCCCTCCCCACCTCCCCCCGGGTGGCCCTGGGAAAAATAAACATTTAAAAACCTTCCACATCTCGGCACAAACCCAGTTTTGAGAAAACTTCTTTTCAAGTCACCTTTACAAGGTATCACTGGTTCTCAGCATCAGCTAGTGCTAAAAGGCACTAAAGCTCATTAAAAGGGTTGGCCAAATATTTTCCGTCAAAACTTTTTTTGGATCGAAAACTAGGGGTTTTTAAAAAGCAGAAAAAAATCACCGACAATGTCTGCTTTCCTTCAAAAATTTTGTTGTTTTTTTTTTTTAATTGAAAAGCTGAAATTAGTCTGCCAAAACCTGAACGTGGTTTGGGGTTTCAGAAGTGTGTGGCCAAATATTTGCTGCTTGTTGTGTTT